TATTATAAGGTCCTTGAAGGCAAGGATCATTATCTTAGTGTAGCTTAGTACTTATTGAAGTGTGGGGGGAGGGGGAGTCACTGGACCTAGTTTTGCTATAAAATGTAGGGTTAAAGTCATTGTTCTTTAAGTCCTTTACAACTTTAAACCTATGATTTTATATAGTAGCAGACTAATGCATTATATTTTAATTTAATTTAATTGGAATCACCTACCTTTGTTTCTGAAGCAAATTGAGGGGGAGAGACTACAATTGGTCTCCTTGAGTCCATAGTAAGGACTCTATGTAAAGATAGTGCTGCTGCAGATTGGACCCCTCCCACTATAGAACATAACAGACATTCAGTAAATATTTGTTTATCAACATAATCCTATAGGTTCAAAATTTTCTATACATTCAAAATATTCTATAAGATTATATAACTAAACACAAATCATGGCTGTTCCTTACACTATGCTTTCTCATTGAACATGAAATGGATGTGTTGAAATTAAGTTTAGTTCTCTCCCTTGACACATGTTCAATAAATGATTTTTAGTGTTTAGAAAAAAAAGTTTTCTAATAGAGCAGTGGTAAGGCTTCTTCTTAGCTGGACTATTGCCTCCTTCTTCCCTGCTCCCTTCTAAAGTTTGCTTGCCTACTTTATCAAGCAAGTATTCAGATTGAATGCTTCATCAGTCTAAGGCTGATAAAGACCTCTAACATGCAGCTATAGGAATCATAGAGGTATGGGTAAACTTGAATGACTTCATTTATTTATTTATTTATTTATTTATTTATTTTACATAAAGACATCTGTCTAAATGGAAGAACTACAAAGGAGTAAATCAACACAAAATATATCTAAATTTAAATCTGTGAAAGGGAAAATACTGTTAATAATGGCACTTTCTGTGATGATTTTCTCATACAGCATATACACACAGAAATACATACAGTACACTTTAAGCATTCAAAAATGTTAATGTTAAAGAGTTATAAACATATCTCAGTTTTAGGAAATAATTTAATAAACAGATTCTTCACATATGCCTTTGTACATCAGTAGGTTTTTCCTCTTCATATATACAGTACTTATATGGAAACTAAAGAGATTGGCTCATATTTACAGAAAAATCAGGGAAGTTCAGGTTTGAAATGGGAAGGCTTTGATTCTTACAACTGGTTTTTAGCATCTGTTTCAAAAACTTAACATATGATCATACCTTCTTTGCTATAAACCATGGTTAATCTTCCATGATTACTACTTCATATTAAATGTGACTTTGTATTCTCATGCATACACACTTGTGTGTGAATTTCATTTACTTCATTCATAGGTTCATTTTGCTGATGCTAACCAATTTTTAAAAATCTATAGTATTGATGGAACAAACCTAAGATTAAGTTTACTTTGCATAAACAACTGCAAGGTAAGAAAGATTTTTTAAAAATCTGAACTCTCTTACCACTAATAACAATCATAGAATCGCTAGTAGGAAAACCAGCAACTGTAAGATTGTAAGCAAGGTTTTGTCAGCAGTAGTGCCACCAAAACCTAAGACTAAAAATGGGATCCTGTGTGTCTTATAAAGTAATTGGAAGAAATATGTTTAAATTCACAGTTCACCTTGGATTTTCCAAAACATGTTCTTCCCTCTAACCTTTTTTCCCCCTGAACAACTTAAGTCTCTCTTCATTTATGGCAATATAGCTGAAATGTCAGAAATAAAAAATACAGCCGAGGCAAGAAAAATGCAAATCAGCCAGGTTGCATCAAAGATGAATTTAGAGAGGAAACTACAAGAAAATAGATTTGCCAATGAGATGTGAAAACCAAATTATGCAGTATGTTAGAATTAACAGTAAAAGATGTCTTCAAATCTGGAGAGGGCTGATAAAAGACTGGTGGTGTGTGAAGCATAGCAGCGGGGGACCTGCTCTCAGTGGAAAAGAAAAGAACAGAGAGAGATTAAGAAATGGGACAGAAGGTTTACTTTCGCAAAATGATGGGGTGAGATTCCCCAGGGATGTGGAATGGGCCTCAAAAGAGAGTGCTTCAAACCAACTTTAATGAAGCTACATTCCCAAGATTCAGTTTATAATTGTGGATGCTTCTAACGTCCCCTCTGCGATCAAAGGAAAGCATTGGTCTGGCTGCTGGCATTGCATTAATTACTCCATCCAGGTTAGGGTGTTGCTGAAGTTACTGGTTTGAAAGTTGGGAATGATGACCTGGATAATGGGCACGATATGTTAGTGCTAACAATATTACTTCCTCAAGTTGGGGTAAGGGTAGGGGGCAGGAAAAGGGTGCATTTGGAAGTATCCAGACAGTGCAGCTTATATGTGGGAAGATGAGAAGGCAAGTAGACTGTGAGGAAGAGACTATCCAGAAATATTATTCTTTCAAGGGGATGGAAATAATGCATGAAATAAAAACCCTGTAATTTGCATAGAAAGTTAGTTAACCATTGAGAAATTGAGGTGAAAAACTTGATCGAAGGGCAAGCCTGTGAGTTTGAGGAAGACCACTTTCTATGGAGTCCATTCTGGGGAAAAGGAGGTCTATTTGATTAGAAAAAGAGATATCATTTGTGATTATAGGCCCATGCCTTCATGAAAGAAGAGTTCATGGCCCTCTTCCTGGAGCTTTTTGTTCCATATGAAAAACTCAGGGCTCAAAGAACATGGGAATAGGAGGAGACTTTAAAATAGAGGTCTTCATCTGGCATCTGTGAGCTTGGGGCTTTTTTATATGATATATTGTGATAACTCAATTTCAGTATAATTGATTTGCTTTGTAATCTTCTTTATTTTATGTTATACGCAGAAAAAATATTATTCTAAGAAGGAGATTTCTCTAGACTGCCAAAGGGTCCATGACAAAAAATATTAAGAACCCCTGCTTTAAAGAAAGAAGAAAACAACTCTACACTTCACTATCTTCTCCCTCTTTCCTGCAATGAAATAATGATTAGAAACCAGATTTCAAGTGGATGGGCTCAGATGGGTAACTTGGAGATACTTAGGAAGAGACTTTTGATATCTGCCTATGTTCACATTTAAAATGATGCTGTTGCCACATACTGGCCAAGATCTTAGGGAAATGCAGTTGTTCTTCATTAGCAGCCAGCTCTCTTTTTCTAGTGTGATATATTATTGGAGAAAGCTATGTACTCTAGCATAGTAATCTGTCTCTCTGAAAAAAGAACATTCAATTCAGTTTTCTAAGTCTGGTAAAGTGTGTCTGGGTAGGTTGGGAAAGAAGTCAGGTTTGCTGTTTTATGTAGTTTTAAAATCTGAGACCCTTGAAAGAGATCGATCCAAGTAATAGCTCTCACAAGCAAAGTGTAACCCCAAAGTCATTCTTTGGGCAATTTGGGGCCCAAATTTTGGGGTCAGATGGGGCCTTAAGGGAAAAAGTAGTTGTTTGTAATGTTGCAGCCTAGTGCCCAAGTTCTCCTGAAGGACTGGGTCAGAAAAGGATGAGCTGTAGGTTTAGAATAGACCTGATAATAGAAAGGAATAGACAGAGGAATGGTGTCAGGATAGTGTAGAGAACTGAATCAGTAGTCCGCACCTGGGTTTTTCTTCACTGACACTTTTTTTTTTTCAATAGGAGCTGCTTTCCAAGCAAAGATTGAATGATGCAAAATTATTTTGAAAAAAAAAAAACATTTTGGCTGAGCTTTGTGTAAAGCTCAACTAGTAGACAGGTGGATGGTGTAGATGGTAGTAGAAGGTTTTTTCAGGCAATAAAACTACATTGATGTTTTCTTATCATTGTCATCTACAATCCTGCCATTTGCTATGTGTGTGTCCTTAGGCAAGTCATAACCTCTTTGGGTCTCAGTCTCCTCATCTTTAAAACCTAGGGGCACAGGGGAAGAGGTATAATTGGACTAGATGACTTCTAAGGACCTTTCCATCTCTAAGCCTATGATCCTCAGTGGCTCTGGCTTTATTCACAAGTGTTCCTTTCAAAAAATAACTCACACATATGGATTTTCTTTGTATTCACCTTATCTTTAATATAGAAGTTACTTTCACTTTTATATGGCCACTTCTGATGAATAAATAGTCGATCTTAGGTTACCTTTCAATTCAAATAAGTAATGGGGAGTTTTACAAATGTAAATTTTTAATCATTATGAAGTCTCAGGGATTCCTGTGTGGTTGTTCAGTTGTCCTGTCCCCCTCCTCCCTGCAACATCATACTACGTTTTACCAGAATAGATCTTCACATCTCTCTTATGCAGCACACTCCAACCCAACTAAGTACATTTTATAACTTTTATATTTTCTTTTCATTACATTTTTTTTATAGTTTTGGAAACTAACTTTATAGTGATTGAGAATTAGAAAGTAGAAAATCAGCCCTGCTCACTGTCCCCATAACAGTGAGAAGGATTTAAGTATGTTACAATGTGTAAGAATTAACAATTCGTTTAATACTCCTAGATTATTCCACAGCTTAAAACCAGGCATATACATATATATATATATATGCACATACATACATATATATGCATATGGATAGGTAGATAGATAAATATTCTTACTCATTTTAGATATTCTTACTCATTTTAAGAAGTTTTAGTAATGTCACTGTTGGCATAAGTGCCATAAGCTTTTCCTATGCAACATTTAACACGAAAAGGAAAGAGACAGTGACAACTGAGTTTCATGAACATGTGGACCTTAGGTAGTTGGTTTGTTTTTTTTTTTGATTTTTAAAAAAAGTACATTCCACTATCATTTATTTCCTCTATTTTAATACTTAGTGGATTTCTACTAAATATCTGTGCTTCCTTTTAAAAAAAATCAAGAAAAAAGTGAAGAATCAAGTATTTTCACAATATAAACAAGCATAGTATAAATACTGGATTTCCAAATTCTTGTTACTTCATTTAGAAAAAGCCTAATTTAGAAAAGGTTTAAAATGAGTAAATTATTTCAATGACAAAATGCACATTTAGGCAAAATGCACACATTTTAAGGGAAAAAAAGAGATAAGTTAATAATATTGTAGCTTATATTTCACTTCAGACTGTTTGGACAGCCTATTCTTTTGATCAGCATTACCTTGGCCAGAGATTGACCATCCTGGTAAGGACACACAGGGCATGTCGAGAAGAGTACTAAACTATACCATTTAGAATTATTGCATCTCTTTTTCTAAGGAAGAAAACATAGCATTGTCTTTTTCTTGGACAGGTAACAAAGTGCTTTATAGCCAATCAAGACTTCACTTTACCTTTTAGTTATTTCTCTACCCAGGATTATTAAAACTGGGAAGAAATGCAGAACTCAAGCTTACTGACTCAGTGCTTTGAAAGTGCTCTCAAATGCCAGCTTCTCTGACCTGCCTTAGGTTTCTGTTAGTGTTACTGTGCCACCTCTGCTAGAATAAGCATCCCTTGGTCAGTAAGAATAGCAGCCCCCTTCCAGTATCAATGCGAAGAGCTTCTAAAAAAGTTCTTGGTAAGAAGCAGCAGGACCATGCTGGTGTGGTGAAGTCCCACAGTGCTTGTGCTCCACAAGAGTTTCTTGTTTCCTACGTCATCACCTGCTGTACTGTTGCTCGATCATGAGAGCACCTCTGATGCCCACAGTGCATTTTTTTAATCAGCCGTCGTAGCTTGCCAGGAAAATTTTTGTTGATGTAACGGTAGAGAAGCGGCATCACAAAACTGCTAGAGAAAGCTAAGAATTTTGAAAAATCTTTGATGAAATGCAATATCCGCATGTAGTGCTCATCCATGAGTTTTCCTTGTGAGACAAGGAATGTGTTTACCAGGAGAGTTAGATAGTAAGGTGTCCACAGCACAAATTGTGTGCATACTGTGGCAATCAGAAGCCTGTGCACAGAAGGGTCCAGTCTTCCAGTATCGTGATCGAGGGGTGTGGCCTCCTTCCGTATTCGTAAAATCAACACAAGTGCGTAAAGTACAGCAATGGCAGGGACAACATACCCAATAAACACCATGATGGCATCAGCTGCCTCCTTGTTTTGCATCTTAGAGCACTCAATGAGCTTAGTGGACACATGGCTACAGATGTAGAAGAGCAGAGAGGAAAAGCTTGTAAGCATTGCACCTCCCCAAATGAACCCACAGACATGCTTGGTGTTATACACACTAGACATGTAAGTCCGGGGTAGAGCTCGCTCAATGTAGTAATCCAGGCTGAGCAAGGTGGTGGAATACATGATAACCAGGGAGGAAACATTAAACAAAATCAGCAGTGTGATGTAAACTTCACTGTTAAAGCTCCAGATGGCCCACTTGGTGGTGGTTGGTCCAAGAAGGTATATTGGTGCCACAGCATTGATTATGAGGCCAGCAATGGCAATGTTCACAAAGTAAACATCAGGCATAGTCATAGTAGCCTTGTTGTACAAATTGACCAGGACCAGCAGAGCATTGTAGCAAAGGCCAATCGGGAAGCAGATAATGAGGTAGAGGAGGGAGAAGATGGAGAGGATGAGGTGGAAGTCATGGCAGAGGAGTTGATCCTCACTGTTCTGGGTACCATTGAAAGTGTCGCAGCTCCGCATAGTGAACCAATCGGGTGGTTTTTCTGATGACTTCCAGCTGTTCTGTAAAGAAAGAAGTAATAGCAAATTAGTTTGCAACACATCTCCAGATGTACTGTCCCTAGGCATATCTTAGACATCTGGGATGGCAGGGCTAGAAGAAAAAGCCACGTGCCTTAAACTATCACAAAAACAAAAGCAAGCCATTGCTACATGTCAAAAGGAAGAATCTCTTGAGGATTCAATCTCTTTCTCTGTGTGTTTTTCATGGAAGGGTAATAAACCATCAAAATGACTGCTGTCTTATTAGCCCCAAACAGGGCTGGTTATGACCAGAAACTTTATGATGTAATAATTTTACTGGCCGTGGTGAGTCTCTCTCTAATGTAATTTCTGAATGAAATCTGAGTAATGGATAATTCATTCAGGATGCTCATCCGGAAGCTTTTAAAAGGCTGCTTCAAACCTTTTCCTACATCTCAGTCAGGGGATGGGTGCTCCCCTGACTGATGTATAGGGTGAAGCAGTACAAATGATACAATCATTTCCAGTAACAGAAAATGAAGCAAAGGTCTTGGACTGCATCTCTCCTAAGATGTTTCTAAGTAGCATTTTAGGGCAGGGGTAGGTTTTCCCCATCAGAAAAGTTGTATTCATAGAAGGATAGATCTGCCTTTGCCTAATAGACAAGAGATAGATGAATAGGGAATAGAAAGAGTGTCCTGTACTCATTCAGAATAGGAGAGTCTCTAAGGTACTATGGAAAGAATGTTGACTACAGTTAGAGGACCTGAGTTCAAATTCTGCTTCTGACACTACTGCTTGGATGACCCTTAGCAAGTCACTTAACTTTTATAGGCTTCATTTTTTTTATCTATAAGATGAAGGAATTGGAATAGATAACCTCTGAGATCACTTTCAGATATAATTCTTTGAAACAATGAAATTCTTCTTTGTATAACAACCATCAGCCTTGCCTTCCACAGCCTCATTGTTGTTATTGTTCGGTCATTTCAGTTGTGTCCAACTCTTTGACCCAGTCTGGGGTTTTCTTGGCAAAGATACTGGGGTGGTTTGCCATATCCCTCTCTAGCTCATTTTACAGATGAAGAAACTGAGGTAAGTAGTGTTAAGTGACTTACCCAGTTACTTACACATAGCTAGTAAGTGTCTGAGGCTAGATTTGAACTCAGGATGATGGGTCTTCCGGACTCTAGGCCCAGCACTCTATCTACTTCACCACCTAGCTACTTCCACCACAGCCTCATTAGCTAGCCTGAAACCCCTAACCTACTCCTGTCTGCTATAATACATAGCATAGATATAGTCATATAAATGTCTTCTGATTCATACATAGAACTGGATGAGCTTCCTTATTCCCTTCTCAGTTTCTTTTTCTTTTTTCTTTTTTTCTTTCTTTCTTTTTTTTTTTTTTTGGCTAGGCAATGGGGTTAAGTGACTTGCTCAGGGTCACACAGCTTGTAAGTATTATGTGCCTGAGGCTGGCTTTGAACTCAGGTCCTCCTGACTCCAGGGCCGGTACTCTATCCACTGCGCCAACTAGCTGCCCCATCTTCTCAGTTTCTAATCTGCATTAACCTGCTCGCTGCCATATCTGTCTGGTTGGAATAGTTTAGTATAGAGGCTTTCCATGTATTCTCCCAGTATTAGCAAGTCCATGGATCTATGATCACACAATCACAGAATTTAAGTATTGGAATGGACCTCAGTAACCGTCTAAGTCCAATATATAGATGAAAGGAATCCCCACAATCACATGTTCACCAAGCCCTGCTTCTGCTCCAAGACCTCCAAGGAGGGGGATCCCACCACCTCTTGAGGTAGCCCGTTCCACTGGTGGACAATTCCAATTTTTAGAAAGTTATTCCTTACATCAATCCCAATTGGTCTATCTGCAACTTCCACATATTCCACCTGGTTCTTCCCTCTGGGGCCAAATAAAATAAGTCTAATAAATAAAACATGTCTAATGACAGCTTATTTTCAAGTACTTGAAGACAATTATCATGTCTGCTGAGTCTTCTCCAGGCCAAACACCCACAATTCCTTCAAATGATGCTCATATAACATGGACTCAAGGCCCATCCCTATCTCAGTTGTCCTTTTCTAAACACTCTGCAGTCTATCAGTATCTTTTTCAAACCATGGTACCCAGAACTGAACACAATACTCCACATGAGGTCTAATGACCACAGAGTACAGTGTGGCTATTCCTGGAAGCCATGCCCTCCTTAATGCAGCCAAGATTGCATTAGCTTTTGGGGGACTGCTATACCACACTGATGGTTCATTGTGTTTGCAGCCCACTGAAACCCCCACGTCTTCTTCAGAACAACTGCTGCCTAACCATGTGTCCCTCTTTTTATGTCTATCAAGTTATTTGTTTTTCAAACACAAGTTTAAGACTTTACATTTATCCCTATTGAATTTCATCTTCTTAGAATAAGCCCACTGCTCTAACCTGTCAGGATCCTTTTGGTTCCTGACACTGACATCCAGTGTGTCAATTATACCATCTATGTATCATTTATAGATCTGATGATGATACCTCTGATGCCTTTATCCAAGTCACTGATATAAATGCTAAGTAGTACATTGTTAATGCTTTACATCAGTCTCTAACCTTTAAGCTACTTTTGATTTCTTATAATCACTGCTGGTTGGAATAGGGATTGGGGCAGAGGGTGTATGGTTCTAGAAGTGAGTTTTTTTACAGGTATGCAGAGTAGAATTTCTCTTTGAGGATCCCTGTGAACCTTGGAGAAGGAGGCCAAAGCAGCATCAATCTGCCTTGGAAATTGACCAGGCAGAGTTTCAAAATGATGAGTGTTCTGCTTGGGGGGATTCCTGCCTTATATGATACAAAATTGTGTTGCCTTTCCAATAAGTACATGCTTTTTGCAAGCACACAAGTGCTTAAAAGCAGAAATGCAGTATCTGGAACCATTATTATGTAGAAATCTCTCATTTCCCAAAGTGGGGGAGGGGCATTTCAAAATTGTTAGAACTTTTTGGAAGGATCTGTATTCTCAGGGTGTGTGTTGGTTCAGTCAAAGTCATGGTATTTGTCGTGGAAAAAACACCAGACTTAGCATCAGAGGACCTGAGCTTAACTGTTAGTTCTTCTTTTAGCTACCTTTGGATCTCCAGATAAGCCCTATAATCTCTCTGAATATGTTTAAAATTAATGTGTGATCTTAAATTTTGTGCTTTTGAGATAGAAAGTTTGCTGCTTTCTCTCTTTTTGGTTTCCCTGTCAAAACAAGTATAAAACAAACCTCAGTTTGCCAAAATCAAGCAAGCAAAACTATACCATACCAGTATTAGCATGATTACTTCAATACATAATTGATGTATTACATTAATAAAAACAAATCAGTGGTGGGTGTTCTTTTGCATATACCAACCCCTGTATAACCATTAATTAACCTTAGAGAGTTTTCTGAGGCTAGGTGACTTGCCCATGGTCACATAGCTGGTAAATGTCACAGGCAGAATTTAAACTGATGTCTTCAGTTAGCTACGAGAATTAAAAACAAAAAAAACCCCTAAAATTTCACATTGAGGTATCAAAGTGCTTTAGATGACTGTACTAGAAGGTAACAGGTGAAAAAGAAATGAATTTTGCAATAATATTTTGCATTCCAAAGAATGACACCCAACAATATGAGACAGTGAATAAATCAGGTTGATTTCAATTTGTGTAATAAAGGGTGCATAAAATTTAACCTCTGCCTGTATGGTGTATTGCTTCTCTGCTTGAGCACACACACATCCCTCACATCACTTATAAAAGAAGTATCTACCATCTGGAATGAAAATGTCAATTCAAATCCTTAAAGTAGTAGAACTGCTGATTTCTTAATTCCTTAATCTTCCCCCTTCTCTTGGAGCTCTCTTGTAGCATTATACAAAGAAAGCCTGGTTATCTTAATCATGATTTCCCCAGCCCTCCCCCTCCAGGGTCTTTTAGCTAACTTCCTGTGTTATTTCCTTCCCCTCTCCTCTTCCTCTTCTTCCACCTCCTGCCCACTCCAGTTCAGCATGCCAAATTACTACAGTAGCCAATATGCAGTTTAAATGCTGTCTTTAAAATTGTCATTTCCTCTTTGAATTTTTAAAGTTTCTACTTCCCCTTCCAGAAAGCATATGCCCCCCCAACATGTGTCTGACTTTATGAAAACTCTGTGGGCTCTATGAAAACTAGTGGAGCTAGGAAGCAGAGGTGCCTGCTGTATCTTTTTAGTGATTTAATTTTGCAAGACTATCACACTGTTCTTTTCACCCTTTGCTTTTCTATCAGAATATTATCAGCCATAGACACGTCTCTCTACATTACTGTTAGCGACATGATGCAGTTTTCATTCCATCATGTATTGTCTCCAAAACTGAAATTCTTGTTATTCTATGAGGTTGTGCTGTTCAGCTACCATCATCAAATTAAAGCATGATCCAACATTTTTTTCCCTTTATCCAGATAGGCTTTCCTTCTGAAGGCTTAACATCTTTTATTCCACACCTGTCTGTCTGTACTAATTTTTAAGCCCTTATTACATACCGTGTGAGCAACAAAAGATGAGAACTAGATACAAACCTGCAGACAAAGCACATTTAGGCATGATCAAAAGCTCTGTGGTCCGACTTACGGGGATGGGAAACAATGTATATCATGTACATTTTTTACATTGTTGAAATAGAATCATTTGCCTTAGCAGCTGCATGAGACACATACCCTTATCATTAAAAAGTGTATTTCATTGGCTTCCCCTTCTCCACTCCTCACCCCCAACCCCAATTCCTCCCTGGCGTCCCCTGCTCTCCCTGTCACTTGATTCTCCTTCAGTTTGACCACATCAGAAACACACGTTTTACTCAGAATAACTTAGTTCTTTTTGGGCTGTCTGCATCACCTACTTGCAGCACTCATGTTCATTTTCCCTCTCATCACCCGGGGCAGCTTTTTGTATATCTGCAGGCTCTCACAGCCACACAGAGAAACTCCTACCTTCAGTTCACGCCACACATTCCTCTGTACCATGAAGTCCCGACTCAGTCAGTAAGCAACATTTCAGAAGGAGGAAGCTGACAGAAAAGATCTGCTCTGTGTTTTTCCTCTGGAAACCCTACTGCCTCCCTATCAGCAGTGGACATGCAGCGTGGTATTTCATGTGCGTGTGTCTGTGTGTGTGTGTGTGTGTGTGTGAGATAGAGAGTTTGTTTTTCCTCTAGTAAATTACTCACAAAGTTTCTGCTTCATTTGGCAGGCAGCAGTGGCCCCTCCCTATCTCTGTTTACAGCCAGTTTCAAGAATTGAGAGGTTGTGCTGCATGTGAAGAGAGTGGACTGTACAATTAAACATAGCCAAATCCTCTTGCTTTCGATTTGTTAGACTTAGGGCTTCCTAGAAGACTGAGGTTGGCGTTGGGGTTCAGCCAAACTGTTTCTCTCCTTCCACGTGGGAGTTGCTGCTCAGTCACGATGGGGAGAAGACTTGACCGTTTTTCACTGACTTGGCAGAAGGACTTGGGAAGAATCTCATAGTGGTGGTTTCCTAATAGTTCAGAGTGACAGGAAACATGTTTGTCAGTGGAATTTTTCATTTTGAGAAGATGAACTAAATGGACAGATGTCTGCAGTACTTAAGGGGCAGGTTGTTGTCATAGAGGGAAAAATTCTGATAAGGAGCCAGCACGGACTGTCTTGAGAGGGTCTGGATTCAGATTTTGTCTCCTGACTTTTATCTGTATGACCTTGAGAAAGTCTTTCAACTTTCCAAGGCCCCTAGTCCTTCCACTCTAAAATGAGGGCACTGAACTAGAGGGTCTGTGCAGTCCCTTCAAGTCCCAGTTCTGGGATGAGTGTGTTCGTTCCAAGCCAGTGACTCCAGTGGTAAGCTGGATGATGACAGCGGCAGGGGAGCGAGGGAAAGCCAGATTCCAGGATGCTTAGAATCCGAAAGCGAAAACAGACTTGTGTTTAGCAGTTAAATAACTTTGGGGGGAGTGTATGTGGTGCTAGTACAAACTAAATCAGAGTTGATCTGCCCTCATCCTTTTAGTATTAAAGCTATGATTTATCAAACTTTCTGAACGGTGATTTGGCAGTCTCCTTTTAGTACCTGACCTCGTTCACTCTCCTTCAGATGGGAGCTGCTTAGATTGTTAATATATGGCTCCTAGGGAAGTAGAGCAGAAGGAATTACAACAAGAACAGAATTGTTCTATCTTATTCCAAGAACAACTTAATTAGGGGGAAATTATCACGTGAAATAAAATCTGGTCACGTTTTCCTTTCCTTGTTCATATGATGCCATGGCTACTGGCTGTCTTCATTCCGTCATCATTTTAAGGGCACATAATTCATTTGTTCTAATTATTCTGAGAATTGAAACAGCATTTCCAAACCAGAAGTTGAATTTCGAAGATTAGTTTGTTGTTATTTTATTATTCAGTTCCCTACCGTGGCTCACAGGACAGGCATGTAGATTTCACAGTCATTAAAAATCTGTACCAGTATTGTACCAGTAAATACTTATATTATACTATTATTTGTCTTTTAATAAATTTAAATTAAGCAAAAGTGGCATGACAATCATGTTGGACTTGTGAAGTCAGAAGCAGATTAAATCCAAATACTGTTTTTGGCACTTTCTAGTTGTTTGACCATAAGCAATTCATTTAACCTTTGAGCCTCAGTTGAGGAATAAAAATAGCTGTATTAGGTACATCACAGTATTGTTGTGAGGATGTACTGAGATAATGTATGTGAAAAGTATTGCAAACCTCCAAGCCATATGTGAATGTTAGCTGTGTATACAAATATTTTACAACTTTTGTAAGCTGAAGGTGTCTCAGTTTTTCTTGTTTATCAATATTTGGAATGCTGCCAGGCATGTACATGGCATTTTAAAAAATAAATCACTGATGCAATTATATAATATTGTGTACCACAGATATCTGCATTAGTATATTTTTCCCCTACTAGACTGATATCTCCGATGGCAGTGACCTTACCTTATTCCACTTTTCTATATTCCCTAGTACCTTATATAGTAGGCTGTTAAATGTGTATTATATTATTTTAATTTGGAATACTTCCAGGAGTACTGTAGTTATTTGTGATTAACAAAATGAACTTTAATCTGTGGCCCTTCCTTGAAGGCCTATCACCCTCCTAGTCAGTTCTGTGACTTTGGAAGAAAAGGGGTACTCATCATCATATAGCCTTGATGTCTTCATTGTGTACATGTGGGTCTTTGGTTGTAAAGCCTCAAGTCATTGGCATTATTCTGTAGAGTAACCAAGTGATCATTAAGAAGAAATATGTCCCTGTGTCAGAGTACATTATGTGTAAATAAAGGAGAAAGGAAAGAATGGGAGTGGAAGAAAAGCAACCCTAGCCAGAACACATGAGAGGAGCTCACTTCCATGCTCTGCCCTTTTCAAAGCATCAGTGTTTGATTCAGAGAATTCACAGGTTAGTAGAAAATCAAGGAGCAGGACTCTTAAATGTAAAGTCTGAAAATTTTTATTTCTTTTGCTTTCTAGCATAGGCTCCTCAAGGAGCACTGGTACAGTAACATCAGTTTAATTCATTAAAAAATATGCTCTATGAAGAAAGCGCAACCAGGAGAATGACTGACAGTAATATTGTAAATGAAAACAACACTGAAAGACAACAAAATTCAGATTGCATGCAGTGACCAGTGTTGGTCCTAAATAACTTGACAGTGGAACGTAATTCTTTTCTGTGAAGAGGTAGTAGACTATGAGTACAGAATGTGTGTGTGTGTGTACACACATACATATATATACATACACACAGAAAAATATATACATACAGAATATATGTATACACACATACATAGAAGTATACATAGATGTATGTGTGTCTAGATAACATGCATATTATGTATATGTAACATGTGCTATATATACACATATATATGTAGACACACATATATACACACACAGAGACACATATAGACATGGTCACAGTAGTGAACAATGCTTGACTTTTATGGGAGGGAGAATGGATGGCTAAGGGAAGGTGTTAATGGGAAATGATTATAGGGCCAAACAAAATGTACCAGTTAAACGTTTTTGTTTTTTTTTTTGAGGGGAAGTACATTTGTGCAAGCATTTTATTTATTTAAAAAATAAAATTTTAAATAAACATTTAAGAAAAAGATGCTCAATGTTCCCAAACAAGTTAATATTCCACAACACCTAGGTGAAAGCATCATCAACCTGATAGCTAGAGTGTTGTCAACACTGAAAAAAAAAATGATCACATTTGAATAAAGCATTAAATGTATCTACCAAAAGAACATGCTCATCCTACTCAAGCTTAAGCCCAAGGAACTGCACTAGGATTGTATATGAGTCTGTGTGAGATGGGACACCAAATGAAAGGCTCTATCCAGTCTGCCTGAGTTCTGTATACTGACATGGCACCTGAAATTAAAGCAATACAAGAGTACAAGGTTTAACATCTTAGGAAATGTTTTCTCCCATCTTAATAACAGGAGTGATTAGAGAAATAAACTTCCAACTGTGGCAGATGAGTCACTTCTATTATAATGCAGGTATTCTGTAGATCATAGCTAGAATATTACTGGCTTTAGTCATGGAAAAAATCCTGCCTTTTTCAAGAGGTTAGATCTAATCTCCAGAATATGTTCCCCAACCCTGTTATTTTGACATCAGTGATAGGGCCAACATCTGGTTTGACCAGGCAGGATGCCTGTCTCTAAACCAATGAAACAGGAGGCAGATGCTCTCATGATTTGATGGAAGATTAACACAGGTGACCTGGGAACCCAGTGTGTTTTTATGAAATAATCACCTGAACTTAGTAGGTTAAAGCCAAACAAATGGAGAACAGAGTGAGATATTTAAGAGTAAGCATTTGGATTCCCAGAGTTCCCATCCCTATGCATTTCCACTTCCTTCATTGTCTTGCTCACTTTTGTAAGGAGAGAAAGGAACCTGGGGATAAATTACTTGTGTTGGTAGAGTCTCCAATTCAGTTCTATCCAACAGATATTTATCACATTTCTGCTACGTGTAAGAAACTACTATGTCTTGGGAATACAAAGACACAGCCTCCAGAAGCTTACATTTCGTTGAGGATGCATCACATGCACAGATAAGAACATACATGATTATTTTTGGACAGAGAAAGCACTAACCCTTGGGTGGACCAGGAAGGGCTTTATGTAGGAGGGGCCAGCTGAACTGAGCTATGAGAAAGCTTGCTGTTCTTCTTAATGCTGCCGTACTCCATGGCTCACTTCCCAGAGACATGAGCCAGAGAGGAAGGAGAGACCTTGGCTCGAGGGGCCCTTCACAGAGGAAGAAGCTAAAACCCTTTGCTAAGTGAGGAGGATGCTTCCGACACAAAGAGCTAGAAGCACATGGCACGAGGTGAAACTCCAGAGGATGTCTCTTCTCATCAGGGCTGAAGAATTCGGCTTTCCTAACATAAAAATAGTAACTGATATTTATATAGTGCTTTAATTCAGGTCTGTGAAGCACTTTACATATACTAGCTCACTTGATCCTCACAACAATCCCGTGAGGTAGGTGCCGGTATAAACTCTTTTTACAAGTGAGCAGCCAGAGACACTTAGAGAGGTTAAGGGACTTGCCCAGGATCTCACAACTAGTAAGTGTCTAAGTCAGGATTTAAATTCAGGTCTTCCTGACCTCAAGGCCAGTACTCTAACCACCATGTCACATTGCTGCTGTGGCATGGAGGCTTCGTTCTAACAGGAGACATTCCCAGCAGGGAAGAAGCACAATGTCTGGCAGCCAGATCCAGAGACCAGGAAGCAGCATTATTCATCCAGTTCTTTCGTTCTCTGCTTGTCCTCTTTTTTTTTTTTTAAATTTGTGTCAGACCTTCCTGATAACCCTTTCCTAGCAGTCATTTCAGCTTCATGGACTGAAAGGGACTATAGGAGATCCAAGTGTCCCTGGGAAGGATGGGAAGAGCAGCCCATCGCCAAATTAGAGAAAAGTAGCTCAGATGTCCTTGTGCAGTCATGTAGAAGAACATCCAGTCAGATGCACGCAGGCATATGTGTATTCAGGTCCAAACTCTTGTTTCCCTGCCACCCTGACCTGAGCCAGATTAGGGTCAATCTCACAAGGTTGTTTCTGTATTTAAGGATATTGAATGATTTCTTTTTTGGTTTATGGAGTGCATTTAGCATAGAGCCAC